GTCACTGTCACATGTGCGGTATCACGTCCTTCTGTCTTTTCTACAAATACTTTCAAGGTAACTACTCTGACAAGTTACTTTTGCTAGTTCCCAAACTGCATGAATTTAAATGTACTACTAGGTTGGCATCTCAGTCCCACCCTTTCACTGTCGAAATGGTTAAATGTAGCCATCTCTTCTACTCCAATAACTTCCCTGATAAGTATAATCTTTAACTATTCAAATGCAATGTCAATCAACATCTCCAGATGCCTTAATCTATTCCCTGTCCTCCTCTTCATCCTTCCCAATATCACTCTCTGTGGCCTTGCTTGGGGTAAAATGCTTAAAAAAAAAAAAAAAAAAAAGGGGTGCTGAAAGTTCTGATCAACAATTGATTATTAAAAAAAAAAAATAACCTGATATTTGGAAGTGGGTTAGACTGACAACTTTTCATCACCCTCTTATATAATATCAAAAACTTTGTTGACTTACATTTCCTGAATATTACGCTAAACAAAGATTACAGAAACTAATCCTGTACTATGTTATAAATGAAAGCAATTCTAATAAATAAAACTGACTTTTCATATATATATATATATATTATATATATATATGAATAAAAATATATATATATGAATAAAAAGACAAGAGGAAAAACTATTAACTGATGTGTTTTGTCCTCTGAGGGACTTTATCAGGGCAAATGTAAGGATTTATTTTGTTGCACATTTTTAGGCTTTTGAATATATTCCTTGGATATTAATCACTCATGTTTGACTTTGAATTATGGTACTTTGTGTCCTCCATATGTTTAACTGACCTTTCAACCACCTGATGAATATTCATGAACATTCTCAAATTCAAAAGCCTTGATAAACCAATGACATTCTTGCTCTTGTATATACACTACCTGAAAATAATTTATATATAACTTTACCAGAATATTTATCTACAAGGTCAATTGTAATTTAATAGATTATCCTAGTATGAACATATGGCACCAAAAGTGTTCACTATGCAAAGAAGGGTAATTAATGTAGTGGACTCTTCTGATGATGTAAAAAAGTGTTACATACACACATACAAAAAAAAAAAAAAAAAAAACGTGTGTGTGTGTGTATATATATATATATATATATATATATATATATATATATATATATATATGTGTGTGTGTGTGTGTGTGTGTATGTATGTATAATAAAAAATATAGCTTTAAGGTATGCTATATTTATGGGTTAAAGTGCTTAATATCAGAGATAGAATGTTTGTAAATATAAAAGGACATTGAAAAAGTCAATACCCAGAGGCAACAGTCTGTTTCAAGCTAAACACAACTGTCAGGCCATGGAAATCGTGTTTAGCATGAAACAGACTGTCACCTCTGGATGTTGACTTCAATGTCATATTTATTTTCATTTTTTTTTTTTTTTTTTTTTAAATAAAAAAAAGCCATAATCCCCATATATAGACTTATGTGACCATTGTGTTAACCAGATATTTTTATTAAAATTTAAATTATGTCATGGTCAATCTCTACTCAGCATCTGAAGATTGTGATTGAATTCATGTTATAGGTGAGGGATATGTATATTTATTAATATATACGTAATAACCGTTATATTAACACCAGCACTCAATGTACGATATCTTATATTCATATGTAAGTTTTAGTAAAATTGATTAACAAGGTCTATGTTTAATTTTTTTTAATTACATTTTTTTCCAGTTTGCATAGCATGTTAAGTTGTCACACATCTCGATCAAATTTGTGGAGAATCTGTCCAAAAGTTCAGGATATTTTTTAATTACTTTCAACTCTCTTGTCATTATCATAATAACTTTGTGTAGAGGATAGAGAACTCATTGTAAAGACAGAATCAAATACTAATAATTATTATCATACAAAAGAAACAACCTGATATTAAAAAAAATATTGTTTGCTATAGGGGAGGGGCATTTTAAAATGTATTTAAAAGATTTTAACAACATCCTCAGGTACTGTCAAATTTTTTAAAAGTTGTCTTGCAAATGATATTAGTGGTCTATGATACAGTGATATTTCAATTAGAAACATAGTATTCTTAAAACAGCCAGAATGAAGTTAAAACCTTTCGTCTATAGCACCAATAACAAACATTCCCAATAAACACAAGATGGTTGAAAGTACTTGAACTAAAACATTACAAACTTTGCCCAGTTTCTCCATGAAGTTGATCCAGATGTGCAACAATTTATAAACAAACTGGAAAACTGTAACAAACTTTAAACAGATCTTATTATTCAATTTTTAATAAATCCTTTTTACAGGAATTCTTGCTGCCTATGTGTGTGTCTGTGGTTTGTGAAGAACATGACCATCCCTGCTTATTACAAGCTGAGCTGAAAAGTCACATGAGGAATCATGTGCAGAGACATCAGATTGAATCTGTTAGTGTTTGCATCAACAAGAGGACTTGAATTGGTACCTTGCATCCTAAGCAACCCAAGAACAAGTCATGGGAAAAGAAGATTATATGAATTATGAAAACACACAACAAATACATATCCAAAATAGAGAATAGATTTCTTTGTTGATGGGTAAGAGAACTTAAAAACCATTCTGGTTTTAAAAGTCATTACAGAGTCCATGACTGGTCATCAGCAGCAAATGCATAGTTATAATGCAGAGATGGTTATCCTTGTAATCTGGACAGCTGCCCTAGACAAGGAGGTGTTGAAAAGTTCTTGGCTCAACCAAGGAAGGAAGGAATTAAAAATTTGGTCAGATGTTGGGAAGTAAATCAAGTTGAGAATTTTTCAACAGCTTTTGTATATGCAGATTTTTTTTTTTTTAAATCATTTCACCCCAAACAAGGTAATTATGCCACTAGGATACAAGGGATTACTGGGAGTGAAAGAGAATGAGAAATGTTTAGTGAAGACAAAGGATATTAAAAGAACAAGATTTAGAAAGACAAGATGGCAATTGACATTGCATTTAAATTTTTGAAGATTGATACTTTTTTTTTTTTAAAGTGGTATTTCCTTTCAGTAAATAGGCAGTCATGGTTCTCTGCCAATTTTTCTTTATTATCTGTGAGTTGCAATGACTTCTTAGAAAAGATAGTGGAATTATTTCCCATTGCCTTCTCCAGTTTTGTATTCAGAGTAGTCTCCTAAACTGTCTACCATCCAAGGCCAGAGGATGGTATACACTGCTATTTAACCCCTAGCTAAGAGGAGAAGATATGGATTCAAGTCTTAACTAAGGTAATTAGTGAATGTGAATTCCTCTTGCTGATTTCCACTTTTGACACATCTTTTTGCATATGTAGATAACTATACAAGTGAATAGATGAATAGAAAAGCAGATATTAAAATAAAATTAAAGAAATACATAGTAGTAAGGATTAGGTCTGCAAGAATTTAATTTTTTTTTCTTTTTATAAAGCTGATGCAGTTTACAGGAAAGTGAACATTTTTTTAAACTTTTGAACTAAAAAAAAAATAAAAATATGTATCAGAAAACATGAGTGAGGGTAGGGTCACTAAATTTGTCTTGAACTTAGTGAATATAAGCTATATTCCTAAAGTTTCCAGAAATTAAATGGAGAATTTTTTTCTTATTTAAATGGATAAAAATCAAAGAAAATATTTTATGAGTTTTTCCTGAACATATCCAGTCATTTCATGAACTGGTTGTACAGCCCCTGATGTAACTTAGCAACCAATCAGAGAGGGCCTTACTGCAAATGTGTGCAGACCCCACACACTCCCATGGAATTACTGAGGGAGAAAACTCATTGCCTCTTGTGCAAGGTTGTTTTTTTTTTTGTTTTTTTTGGTTACACACATTTAAAAGTTACTAATTCAAACATTCGGGAACAGGCTCTATTTTACTAGAGTCTTTATAAATACAATTGAGAAAAAAAAATTCTCATTTAATTATAATAATAATTTTAGAGAAAATATATTTTTCTAAATATTCAGAGAAAAATAAAACTTTAGTTTGATTAACAGTTTTCAATTTAAAAAAAATGAGCTTCATTTTTTAATATACCAAGTTTATGCAACCTGTAATATAGTAACATTTAAAAAAAAAAAAAAAAGAAAAAAATTTTTTTTCATTATATTCATTACTATGATACAGCAAATTCTGGTAGATTGCTAAAGGGAATGAAACAATTTAGCACAGATTACATTCAAACCCATCAGATCTGGACAACATTTTGCATTCTCTTAGTGTGTGTTTGTTTAAGCAAACTTCACCATCTAGTCTGTATGTTGGACATTCAAGAGAAAAAAGATTGTTGGTGGTCAGGAATTAATGCAAGCATGACTGACAGAACAAGGCTTCATATCAAGGCTTCAATGTAGAATCTAATGAAAAATAAAATGTCAAAAAGAAAGAAAATTAGAATATTTAAGTTAAATGCAATAAAAAATGAAAGCATTTTTAAAATATGGGAATAGCAGCAAGAGCTTTTAACTTTTTCTATGTAGCATGTCCCTTCAAGACAAAGGCAAGCATGTCCCTTCAAGACAAGGGCAATCATGGCTTACAACAACTTCCTATCTGTCGTAGCACCATTTTAACCCTTTGCTAAGCTTCTGGCCTCCTGTTCCACTACCCATTCACATAAATCCATCACGTAGGTGATCTTTCTCAAGTGTATTAGAAATTCAAGCTGTCTCTTTTTGATTCTGAATGTAAGCATTCTTTTTGTTACCATTTTCAAATGAATATAAAGAATAATGGCGTAAAGGGGGTCAAGCTCCTTGAAAAACAACCCCTCGTCCAGTAAGGATAAACATGGGTGACAGGTATCACAGACTGTTATCCAGCAACTATTCACAACAAACAAAAAATAGTAATGTTTGGATAAATCATTGATTAACCTAAAGTCTCAAAGAAAATCCTGACAATCCAGTAAGTTGCAGAAAATTTATATTTGGAAATCTTCTTAGAGTCAGTGGAGTTATGCATTTCAGCAAATGTTCTTTTAAACAATACACAATCTAGCATTTCAAAACTAAGGTCTGGTTACAAAACAAAGTGAACAATAACCACTGAAAGGAACAAGACAGACATAGACAACCTCAGAAAGTAATGAGTGAAAGAGGTAATAAGCAAGAGAGAGAAGTAACGAGAGAGAAGTAACGAGAGAGACAAGTGTAGAGAGAGACAAGTGTAGAGAGAGACAAGTGTAGAGAGAGAGAGAGAGAGAGAAGTAACGAGAGAGACAAGTGTAGAGAGAGAGAGGGAGAGACAAGTGTAGAGAGGGAGAGACAAGTGTAGAGAGGGAGAGACAAGTGTAGAGAGGGAGAGACAAGTGTAGAGAGGGAGAGACAAGTGTAGAGAGGGAGAGAGACAAGTGTAGAGAGAGGGAGGGAGAGACAAGTGTAGAGAGAGGGAGGGAGAGAGGGGGGGAGAGAGAGGGAGGGGGGGAGAGAGAGGGAGGGGGGGGGGGGACAGGGGGGGGAGAGAGGGGGAGCACGACAGGGGGGGAGAGAGAGGGGGAGGAGGGGGGAGAGAGGGGAGCACGACAGGGGGGGAGAGAGAGGGGGAGCACGACAGGGGGGGAGAGAGAGTGGGAGCACGACAGGGGGGGAGAGAGAGTGGGAGCACGACAGGGGGGGAGAGAGACGACAGGGGGGGAGAGAGAGGGAGCACGACAGGGGGGAGAGAGTGGAGCACGACAGGGGGGAGAGAGAGAGGGAGCACGACAGGGGGGAGAGAGAGGGGAGCACGACAGGGGGGAGAGAGAGGGGAGCACGACAGGGGGGGGAGAGAGTGGGAGCACGACAGGGGGAGAGAGAGGGAGACAGGGGGGGAGAGAGGGGAGCACGACAGGGGGGAGAGAGAACAAAAGTAATGACAGGGAGGGAGAGAGAACAAAAGTAATGACAGGGAGGGAGAGAGAACAAAAGTAATGACAGGGAGAGAAAAAGTAACAAGAGGGAAGGGCAGAGAAAACTACAAGGAAAAGAAAGACTCTGAAAGCAATATGTGAGAGAGAGAAAGTTGTGATTCTTTTCATACATGTCTGCTGTCTACCCAGAAACACACAAGGAAATTATGGGTTCTTTGGCTGCTGATACTAATTAGTTGTTAATCATATGAAGCCAACATGGAGAAATCAAACCAAATTCTTTCAAACTAAACACATAGCCAAAGATTTCCACTTGGTTACTCTTTAGTCACATTATAGGACGAAACAGAATTTCCATTCCTGACTGAGTGCAAAACTATCAATGTTTTGACGAATTACCATTCTTTTAGATTGAAGTAACAAGTTAAAAAAGTTGGTGTATTGTTTTTGCTTGTGAGTCAAAGTTAACCTTGTGCATGTCTGCGATAAACTTAGGTTATTGTTCCCCACCTCTCCTCATCAATCAAATATATATGCCTTCCACTCTACCCAAATTCATAATACAAAGATGATATAGCTTTGCATTATGAATTTGGGTGGAATGGTAGATTTGATGCTTTATAAATTTAAAAACAGTTGTAGCAATATTGGATAAAATTGCAAAACAGGTATAAGTATTAGTTAGGTGTGTGTAAAACTTTTGAACATTTCTTTTATTATTATTAAAAAAGGTTTTAACTTTATTCAAACTATTGCTTACAAAGGAGAGCTGTAAAAGTGTGAGCTCCCAATATACTTTCAATCCCACAAATATTATAAATGTTTATATTATTATATAAACATTATAAGCAATTATAAACATTTTCATTAAGAATATTTACTATTAAACATCAAGTCCTAATTTGAATCAAATTCAAAATTGATATTTTGAAAGTTTTGAGCATACCAGGAGAATTTAGGTACTTAGTAGAACAGTAGAGGAAACCAAACATTTTCCAGTATCTTTAGCAATGAATTGTATATGTAAGTTCCAAATGAGATCTTTGGTCAACTTGAATCCTAAGAGGCATTCAAGGCAAGGAGCCTTAAGATGAAACTTTCTATACCACTCATTATTGTTTCAAGTTTGTAATTATGGAAGAGCCAGTGTCCATTACTGTGTAATGCACAAAAATTAGGTTTTTGTTCGTATCAAAGACCAGGCATACCTTTGACATTTTGTGTCCATAATCCTAAAAATATGTCCACATAAAAAGGTGTAATTTATGTTGCTTATTTTATCTAGTTAATAGAGAAATTGTAGCAATGATTACAGAAAATTTTTAACAAAAATTTCAAAATATATTATAACTTCTTTAAATTTTTAATTGAAATATAAAAAAAAAAACTTTTACGTATTTGAAACATGTTCAATGTCATTTCAAAATTAATTTTGATTATACTTGTTGATGATTGCCAAAAACAAAATACTTTAAGAGAGAAAAGAGAGAAAAGAAAAAAGAGAGAAAAGAGAGAAAAGAAAAAAGAGAGAAAAGAGAGAAAAGAAAAAAGAGAGAAAAGAAAAAAAAGAGAAAAGAGAAAAGAGAGAAAAGAGAAAAGAAAAAAGAGAGAAAAAAAAAAGAAAAGAAAAAAGAGAAAAGAGAGAAAAGAAAAAAAGAGAGAAAAGAGAGAAAAGAAAAAAAGAGAGAAAAGAGAGAAAAGAAAAAAAGAGAGAAAAGAGAGAAAAGAAAAAAAGAGAGAAAAGAGAGAAAAGAAAAAAAGAGAGAAAAGAAAAAAGAGAAAAGAGAGAAAAGAAAAAGAGAGAAAAGAGAGAAAAGAAAAAGAGAGAAAAGAGAGAAAAGAAAAAGAGAGAAAAGGAGAAAAGAGAAAAGAAAAAAGAGAGAAGAGAAAAATAGAGAGAAAAGAGAAGAGAGAAAAGAGAGAAAAGAGAAAAGAAAAATGAGAGAAAAGAAAAAAGAGAAAAGAGAGAAAAGAGAGAAAAGAGAGAAAAGAGAAAAAGAGAGAAAAAAGAGAGAAAAGAGAGAAAAAAGAGAGAAAAGAGAGAAAAAAGAGAGAAAAGAGAGAAAAAAGAGAGAAAAGAGAGAAAAAAGAGAGAAAAGAGAGAAAAAAGAGAGAAAAGAAAAAGAGAGAGAAAAGAGAGAAAAGAAAAAGAGAGAGAAAAGAGAGAAAAGAAAAAGAGAGAGAAAAGAGAGAAAAGAAAAAGAGAGAGAAAAGAGAGAGAAAAGAAAAAGAGAGAGAAAAGAAAAAGAGAGAGAAAAGAAAAGAGAAAAGAAAAGAAAGAGAGAGAAAAGAGAGAAAAGAAAAAGAGAGAGAAAAGAAAAAGAGAGAGAAAAGAAAAAGAGAGAGAAAAGAAAAAGAGAGAGAAAAGAAAAAGAGAGAGAAAAGAAAAAGAGAGAGAAAAGAAAAAGAGAGAGAAAAGAAAAAGAGAGAGAAAAGAAAAGAGAGAGAAAAAAGAAAAGAGAGAGAAAAAAGAAAAGAGAGAGAAAAAAGAAAAGAGAGAGAAAAGAAAAGAGAGAGAAAAAAGAAAAAGAGAGAGAAAAGAAAAAGAGAGAGAAAAGAAAAAGAGAACAAAGAGAAAGAGAACAAAGAGAAAGAGAACAAAGAGAAAGAGAACAAAGAGAAAGAGAACAAAGAGAAAGAGAACAAAGAGAAAGAGAACAAAGAGAAAGAGAAAAAGAAAAAGAAAAAGAGAACAAAGAGAAAGAGAAAAAGAAAAAGAGAACAAGAAAAAGAGAACAAAGAGAAAGAGAAAAAGAGAACAAAGAGAAAAAGAAAAAGAGAACAAAGAGAAAAAGAAAAAGAGAACAAAGAGAAAAGGAAAAAGAGAACAAAGAGAAAAAGAAAAAGAGAACAAAGAGAAAAAGAAAAAGAGAACAAAGAGAAAAAGAAAAAGAGAACAAAGAGAAAAAGAAAAAGAGAACAAAGAGAAAAAGAAAAAGAGAACAAAGAGAAAAAGAAAAAGAGAACAAAGAGAAAGAGAAAAGAAGAAAAAGAGCCAGGAAAAGAGAAAGAGAAAAGAAGAAAATGAGCCAGGAAAAGAGAAAGAGAAAAGAAGAAAAAGAGCCAGGAAAAGAGAAAAGAAGAAAAAGAGCCAGGAAAAGAGAAAAGAAGAAAAAGAGCCAGGAAAAGAGAAAGAGAAAAGAAGAAAAAGAGCCAGGAAAAGAGAAAGAGAAAAGAAGAAAAAGAGCCAGGAAAAGAGAGAAAAGAAGAAAAAGAGCCAGGAAAGGAGGGGGGAAAAAGAACCAGGAAAGAAAAAAGAAAAGAAAGAAAAAAGGACAAGAAAAAAAAAAGAACAAGAAAAGAAAAAATGTAATGTCCACTTTGATTCCATAAAAGAAAAAAAAGTCTTCCAAATTAGCTGACCAAAGAATGTAGGATTCAACAAAAATTAGTTAACAATTTAACTATATATATATATATATATATATATATATATATATATTTCTTTACAACAAGTGTTAGTTACCTATTAACTCTGTTAAGAGGTCAAGTGGGTAGAGCCAGCTTTTCTTACCCATGTTTGATGAAAACCTGCTCAAATTCATGAGTTTCATGACAGCTGAAGTATGGATGACCAAAAATAGCAAAACCTAATATTAGGCACACTAAAACACTTGTTATAAGCCAAGCTATACCGAGATAAAATAACAATATTGAAGCTGTCAAGTTGAGTAAGCAATTCACAAGAGGAATGAACTATTTAACAGCTAAAAGTACAGATAGCAATTATCAAGTAGGAAGCAATGAGAGAGAGGGAGAAGGATGCAGAAGAATGCTTCTAACATGTAAGTTAATCTTTAAAGACCTTATAATGAATAATTGCAAAATGGTGGTTATGCATTAGAAACATCATTGTGATGAATGTTGAAACAACAATCAGCTAAGCAAATTTAAATCTCAACTAGTGTCAAAGTGGGAACAGATTTTAATGCACTCAAGTAATCACTTCAAATTAATTTTCCAACAATACTTATTCTGCTACTTTGAAAAGGAAAAATATTTTCCAGTATTTATGATCTTTCAAATTCTGTGAAGATCTAAGAAAAACTGAGTCAAAATGAGATTTTTACAATTGGGTTTTTGTTATTAAAAGTAAAAGAACATTTCTGGCATATTATACATTTTATTTTAGGAAAGATAGAAATCTAACATGTGTGCTAATAAAAGATTTATGCAATTTATGAAGTAGATACTGTGAATGATTAAACAGTTTTTTGGCAAGTTTTCTCAGAGAATGATAACCCGCAACCAGGTTTATCAGTTGATGTTGATAGCTATGAAGACATTACTTGAAAGGATACAATGCAAAAAAAGAAAGAAAAAAAAAAAAAGGAAAGATATTTAAAATAATCAAATCAAATGCTGAAAACATCAGCACCAGTTTGGTTATTTTAGTCACTTTAATGAGTGGCTTCCAAATTAGTGAAAAATAGTACAGGGCTGCATTTTCTATGTGTGATTTTTAATTTTTTTTTGCCAGTTGTGCAATGGAAATTTGGGAAAATTTTTGCCATTTTTAATTTAAATGGCAAAAAGCAGGCGGAATTTACACTACACAACAAATTATATAAAATGTTTTTCACATACTTTTGTAGGATTTTGAGGAAAAGATTTTAACAAAGGCAGCTTTAAAATCTTAAATACGAAGATTTCTTACAAACAATTTTTAAGATTTTAAATGCATGAAAAATGTCTAAGTTACTCAAAATTCTCTTAAGGAATGTAAAAATTGAAATCAGTTTTAATTTAAAAGGTGGAATATCTGATGAATATGGGGGCTGAATGAAAACCTACAGAATTATTATGAAGTACAATGACAAACATAAAAGTGATTAGTTCTATAAACATTAAAACAGATTGTTGAATTGTTGGACCTGATAGTGAGGTTGTGGTATTCAGATTGGCCAATGCCTCTTGTTCTTGGATTGAAGGAAGATGGCACAATCAGCGTATTAAGTTAAAATAAATCCAGAAGCAAAATTTTTAACCTCTATCTAGCTGGAGGCAAAAATTGTTGCCATAGAATTCTCTCCCTTTGCATGCTGTGGGTGCATTCTGTCACCTCAAGAGGGTCGCTATAAATAAACATTAGTCAACTGTTATTTCCAATATTTTAAGCTGGAAATAGCTGACTACTACTTGGAAATGAGACTAAACTTCCATTTACT